GTGTAGCTTTTCCGATTTCCCCCTCTCATTATTAACGCTATTTTTAACATTTGCACCCTCGTTCTGATAATTATAATACTCTTATAAAGAAAGTAAATAAAGAATTAATCTAAAAATAAACTGTTTTTTTTATTTCATTGTTAATATATATGTCTATATTCTTTTCTTTCTTTTTTGCTCGCAATAAACTTCAATCAATCAATAAATCAACATTTGTTTTGAAACACAGTTTGTTGTTTATTTTCAATACAATGTTCACGGTTACATCATTGATAATACAGTACTAACCAAGTCTGCCATGGGACATAGCACAGTTCCATGTGGAGACTGAAAAAAATCCTTCAAGTCATTTCGAACAGGTATCGTTATGGCAGCTCGGGTGGAACCTTTATTTTATTGTCTATGGGTGGAACGGGCCCCGGACATCCGTGTTGATTCTGTGGGGATAAAGTTTGTGTCGTCTTGTTATTCAACGTCGATTAGCTCCAGCTAGCAGCTGCAAAAACAACAACATTCTCTCTCTTTCGCTCGCGGCGCACAGAACCAAAGAGATTCGCGAACCCCCCTAGCGTTCTGGCGGCGAAATGCACCGCGATGCACCACAACCTCACACAGAAGTATAAAACGGCCACGACGCCGTAGCAGTGAAGACGTAGCTACGCCTTGGAGTTGACGCAGAAGCATAATGAGGCCTTAAACAAGGGGTCACCCTCGCCCTCATCCACCTAATCTAGCTGTCATTTATTTTTGTTTTGATGATAATAGCCAGCTTCCAAAAGTTATTAACTTGTCCTGTGATTTTTTTCTCTCTCACGTCCAGACACGAACTTATGCACATTTGTCTTTACATCATAATACTATATTTCATATAATCTAGATATGGAATGGTAACATTCAATACGAAATGAACATGTCTCGTATAGAAATAATGTTTTAAGTGATCAAATATTTGCTTTGTTGTGCATAATCCCACCATGCATTTAGTCATATTACAAAATAATTTATTGAAGCATCCAGACACTTCACCACGTGAGCAAGCAGCTAGGCTCCTGATTGGTTAACGCGGCACGAATTCACGCCAAAGTTCAGATTTTTCAACTCGGGCGGCAGACGTGAATTCGCGTCAAACGCGTGAATGCACAAATGGCACTATAACTAAAGGCTTGTTCGACTTCATGCAGCTCTGCGCAGACCGATCAGCGGCTGACTTGAAACAGCATGCCGGTTAGAAATTCTGTCCGACTTGATGCAGCGCTGACTCCACGTGACTGTGACATATGCCATGAAAGTACCGCGAGAGCGATACAATAGTAGCCGGAGGACTCAGCCAGCGCAGCTTCTCAAGAGCGGCTGCACGAGTTCTGATGATGTCACAGCTGTTCCACGATTCGCCGGATTCACCGCATGACAACGATCACGTGCGTTTCGTGTTTATTCTCACACCTTTAGTTCCACTAAAGCTCACAAATCAATATGGTCCTCACTGCGGAACATGATATCCATGGGGAGGAGTCAGATCCTCCCACGTTAAATACACCTAAACCAAACCAACTCCGCCCCCTGATGCCTAAACCCACCCCTAATCCCTAAACCCAACCCTAAACCTACCCATCTCCACCCCTTGGATCGTGATCCGACTCCTCCCCGTGGATCTCATGTTCTGCATTGAGGTGCTTCTGCACAAATCAGTATTTTATAACAGTAAACTCTCTTTTCATGTAGTCGCAATGTTATATTGTGTCATCATGTTTATCAAAATAAAACTGATTAAAAAACGTTGATTCCACGTCATTGATTATAGGCTTATTTTGAACTTTATTCTAGTTCAGACAGATGCTGTATGAAGCAGTAAAGTATCAGTTTATTTAAATATCTGTTTATTTGGCAAATGTTGCATTTATTTCACTTCAGCTGTGGTATAAGCATGCAAACACCACGTGAGCCGTCACTACGGGAACCAGAAATTGTCCGACTTCACGTCTCCGTTTGCAGCTCCTCCCCGCCTGCACGCGGCTGTTCTCGCCGATCGGTTGCATCCAGCCGCAGGCGATGTCGAACACACCTTAAATCATTCGCACGCAACGCGCTAAACGCGCCAGACGCTCAATTCGCGCGAACTTGACGCGCGAATGAGGCGTATTCGCATCTTCCGCGCCGCGCTCCACATCTCATTCGCGCCGCAGGAATTTTTTACGCACGTAAAGGCCAATTTATACTTCTGCGTAGGGTGCAGTAGGTACAGTAGGTACTTGGTAGCAGTAGGTACGGCGTAGCATACGCACAGACGCGTCCCATACCGCGTACCCTTCCGCGTTGCCTGACGCGCACCTCTTCAAAAATGTAACTACACGTCGCGACGACGCGGACCGCAAGATCGGTGATTGGTCGGCTTGGTAACATCGTATTTCCTCATACGCATTTCCGCACGTACCTTCTCACGCATTTCCACACGTACCATCTCCTCCGACGTCTTCTCTCATTTCTGCCTTTCAGTTTTAGTAATTTCACTAAAGTGAACTGTTTTTCCACCCCAATAAGCTCCAACTCCAACATGATCCACTCTCTTTCAGTCGCTATTGCTTGTAGTAACCTAGCCGCGAGGAATCTAAACACAGTGGAACATTAAAACCCTCCGCCGCCTCCTAGCGTTTCGGAGCAGTACTGCAGAGCAACCAATACCTGAACGCAGAAGTATAAATGCTCACAACGGCGTCGCCTACGTGCGAAGCCAACGCCGTACACTACGGCGTACTCTCGACGCAGAAGTATAAATTGGCCTTAACGCGTCTTTGCATTGAATTGAAACCATTCGCGCCTGACGCGCTATTCGCGTCCGGTGTGAACGTAGCATAGCTGCAGGCAGCGCAAATAAAGGATCTATCATGAGCGAGAAAGCGAAAGAGACTGGGGTACACCAAGTTACTGTCATGACGTGAGTTTGTTGTTATATTCTCTTGACCTATCTGGCTGGTGCTGTGATAATCCACTAGTGCTTATCACTGCCTCTGACGGTCAGGAGGAATGAGACTGCTCTCTTTGGGGGTCATAATGGACTAAGGCTTCTGCTGACTGAAAAAATAATTTTGCCTGTTCAAATGTATTCTCTTGTTCAACACTCCATTTGCACTTGTAATTAAAACTGTGAAGAAATTTTGGCAGAACCTTCAGCTCTTCAGGGTCCACCTTGTGTCCTTGAACATTTCCATTCCCATTATGCTTCTCGCTTCAGTCATAGCTCTCCTCTTTGAAGTCTTGGCAGTACTGTAGCAAGAGTCAGAAGGTGCTTGTGGTCAACTTGTAGTCCCAACATAGTCTCACTGAATTGTCAGGCTTTAGAATAGGTATGGGTTCTGGGTTATTCATTGCCTCTATTATCATAGGTTTAAAATTATAAAGTTGTGTTGTGAGCAACTTATGTATGTTCCTCTCTTCATCTGTGAGTCTTTTTTTGTTTTTTGTTTCCCATGTACTGTATGTGATGTAGCCTACTCTTTGCACTTTTCCTTGTTTGTCTGTCTTGTGCACTGCTCCCCCTTTAAACTCTTCCATTTTTGACCTCGTGTGTCTTTTTGACACATTTATGTCATTTTATTTTTACTTAATGAGTGACACCCTCACAACTACTGCTGCTGCAGCTAAGCCCGACATCTGTAGCATGTTTTGCTTTGACCCCCTCTTTCCTTCTTGCTTAGGCCAGGTTACACCACTGTTTGTGCATCTCCATGGCCCTTGGTATCTGCATTTTGGGCCTGCAAATTCCTCATATTCTTGTTGGCTGTCTCTATTGCTCTGTTTCTTACAATAACCTGTGGTCACTGTGGTCGTTGGATATTCCACAGACCAGCCTCTTTCTCTGTGCATTTCCTGTTGATTTGTTTCCATACTTGCAGTTTCCATCTTTACATAACATATACTGTATATCCTTCTGTGTGTGAATTCTAATAAAAATGATTTCTGTCTTGCTGCATCAGTAATATGTATTTGACTCGATGATAAATGGCATCTTGCTGCCTACCATGCTAGCCATCTTCTATTCCTTTCTTAAAATTTTGACTGCATAATCAGTAAAGTTCCTGATCTTTTTGGTCTAGAGACCTCCTCAGTCTTTCCTTTTTTTTCTTGATGGCATTTATATAATGATTTGAGACTTGAGGTTTCAGTTAGGATGTTCACTGAGAAGCTATCCCTTGCAAAAATATAGTGTTCTGAAAAACTCCTGTGGCAAACTTATGGTGAACATTGCCACAAATTCAATTTTTTATTTATTTTTTACATGTGAGCTTTGTGGCGAACAGTGTGCAGCAACTTTGCAGCAGACAGTTGTGGCAAGTCTATGGTAAATATGAGTGTACAAGTGCTTCTACTTTTTGGTGTAGATTCAAAGTATTTTTTTATATCATTTAAGGTTTAAATATAGAAAACAATTATCTCTTGACAATACATCAAAATACAACTACAAAAAAATCAACACTATGTCCAATACTTCTAAACATATTGGTCTTCAACATATAACACATAATTCAAATTAAAAGGAATGGTAAGCTCTAATTGAATACATAATATTAAATAACCAAGATAAACAATCAATATTACATTGTATCAATATGTAAAAAAACAACAACAACAACAACAACAAAAAAACAACAACAATATTATCATAACCTCAGCCATTAAACACTATAAATTCATTCATTTACTTGTTTTTTATTCACATATTCTATTAAGCATGACTGCTCCCCTACAGGTACAAGTTCACTTCTTTGTTGAAATCTGCATCTTTCATTTTCAGATGATCTGAAAATGAACTGAAAAAGAGAGTGAAACTAAACTGTATAATGGGGTGATGGAACATTAAGCATGTGTTATTCATTTCATTGCTCAGACTTTATTAATTTTAACTTAAATGCTGTTGATGTCTTGCCATACAGATCACATGATTCTTAAAGTCCCTCCATGAGTTTGTGAATGGTGAAGCCTGGGCCTTCATGCTGGAACCTCTCAAGAGTTGTTACAAGCCATGTTTTTAAGACTGCCAATGACTTCAGTATCAGGGGCAGGCTTCATTCTCTTTCAGGATCAACTGGTAAATAAATGAGTTTCTAAACAATCTATATATATACAGCTGATACAGAATATGAGCATGACTATTCATCTAATCACATCTAACGTCATCAGCAGGCAACATATTTACAGTCATTGAACTGAAAACCTCACTTACAGCTGTACATAAGTAAATATAAAGTATGGGAGAAAAGAGGGACACAGATGAAATATGACACACAAGTGAGATAGATAGATAGATTTTACTTAACTAATTTGCTGTTTTGAATGAAAAAAAAAATCACTCACATGATTCATCTAGATCTGAAGAACTGTCACATTAGCAGAACCTCAGTCATATCTATTGACATAAAGTTCATGCTATTTTCATATTTTTGTCATTTATATAATTTGTTATGAAGTAAAATGGCCTCACCTCAGAGAAACTCACTGCTTTTAGGTTGCTGCAGATTTGCCGCAAAGTACCCATAAGTTAGCCGCAAAGAAATGTTTTTGCAAGGGACATGCTATTTTCACTGTAAATAGTGTTACAGTGTAAATAGTGGTAAATGCTGTTTGCACCAAACATACATAGCACCAAATATCACCTTGCTTGCATTAAATACAAATAGTGACATGCCATTCACATAAAGTATAAATAGAAGTAACTGAATATTTGTACTATTAAATAGTACAAATAGCCATAGCCTATTTGCACCTGTCTTGTAGAACACAGATCAGATTATCTTTACAAAGCACTTTTGTAGTGTGAATTGGGACCGTAAGAGTAAATGATTGTATATTGAACTTTGGATTCAATACTTCTATGATCACATTTAATGCATTTTTTTCTTTCCTTTCCCTGCAGTGTGCAAGTTGTCCTGCCATAAGAAATGTGAGGTAAAGGTAAATCATGTATATATTTTTTTTTTCATATTTCACTTTCTTTTAAGAGGACTTTTACAAAATTATATATTTGTATTATCTTTCTTGCTGTGTATCATGCTAGATTCTGACACATAAGATTTTATTGGTGTATTTTATTTAATTGACCTTTATTGACCTCTGTTTACATGTTTGTTAAAATCACCCTGCTTTGCAGTGCCAAATGTATGAAATGTGCCTTCATACAGTCACATAAGCTGTATGTGTTTTAAAACACCAATCAGGATTTACGTGTCAACATTTTTACTTACCAATACAAAAGCTCAAAATAATCCAGTTATTTAAATCACCCGCACGCTGTATTTATCTGAGCATGGCTGCTGATACCACAAATGTACAAATAAGGAATTTAACTGAGGGTTTAAGAATGTAAAGTGTGAAACATCAGATTATAAATACCCAGGATTAATTGCTAAATCCCAAATTAGGTATGAGTAGACAAAACATGAATCAAGATAACCTCGGAACCCTGGGTGTGCAAAGCCCTAGCCATGCTTGGGCCTCATGGGAATTCCTGTCTGTTTCGACTCTTTGCTCAGCCCCACAGCGGTCAGTGAATTATCTGTACAAGAGGTTGGATTCAGGAGTCATTTTTTCAGTGCCCCTCCTGGGAGAATGTTGCGTCTCGGTCACCACGATCCAAGAGCTGTGATGCCTCTGCCAATTTCACTGCCTTCACTTTTTCATTCATAGATACTGGGTTCACACAGCTTACTTCTGTGGCCATGGGATTGAAAACAAGAGTTTGTCTACTATGATATCACTCATTCAGCCACCTTGAGCAGGTTTAAATCAATCGTTCATAGCAGCTTATACGAGAGTGAAGAGACACACAGAAGAGGATTGTGTGTCAGAATAGATTCCGGGTGTATTTCCTTGCCACTCCCTGCTGAGAGAGAAGTTGTTACTCATTTTTCTAGTTTGCCATTGGCTAAATCTCCCACCAGTGATGATGTAGATTGTTCACACAGGGCCGGCCCGTGGCATAGACCTTATTCAGAGCAGCGCCATGACAGGTATGAAAGTGAAGCTGTGAGGGATAGACTTACCGTGTTTCCAATGGCATCCGCTGTAAAAAGCTGAATAAAGCTCCTAGATTACTTACGATTTTCCACAGCTTATGTTGTCGGGAGTTTTTTGTCAACTGACATTTCTTGGAAAGATATTTTTCCAATGTTTCATGAGCAGAACAATCCCAAACACATTAAATAGTAAATAAACAGTAAATTAAATTAGTAAATTAAACAGTACAGCCCATTGAAGAGATGCATGTCTATCCCTCACAGCCTCACTTTCATTCTCATTAAAAATCAAAGATGGCGCTGCAGTGAATGTACGTATAGGCAGTATAGGCAAATGCTAAGGGCGCTACCACTCAAGGGGCACCAAAATGAGTGAACTGAATGAAAATTTTTTTTTTTTACTAATACTATTTTAAAACCATTAATTTGAAATACTACAAAATAAAGCAAAACAACTCCACAAAAACTTAACTAAGTCCCCCGACTCCGGTCCAGTGCATCAATCTCCCCCCGCCCAGCGAGAGCTTAAAGTGTGCCAGAAAAAGAGTGCGTGCGATCAGTTTACTGTTGGTAATTTGTTGTTTAGCGTCGCCGCTCGCCGCATCCAATGTAGACAACATTGCTTTCGTTTGAGGGCGCTTACACTCAAGCACTCCCTTAGAAACGGGCCTCGCGGCCATCTAGACACGGTGAAAGTTTCCTCATTGTGACGGATGGCCGAATTTTCATGACACATTTAAATTAGCAATGTTAGCAATAGTCTGCTGCGATAGATAGCAGGTTATAACCGTGTGTTCTATTTTTATAGATCAAAACGTGAAAATATTTAGAGGCTCTGTTCACCACAGACCTTATTTCAGGCGATTTAGCAAAAACCCATTCAAAAATCCCATAGAGTGAGGGAACCATAATGCTAAAATGCTAACTCACTTCCGCGTTTTGGCCTACAGAGTGACGTCGTAACTTCGGCACTCAATTGCGTGCAGAGATGTCATGCGCGCACGCATGGTTTGAGTGAGCGACCTCCCGTTTCGTCACGTGTAGATCTGTTATCCTCTCGCGAAAGTCATTTGCCATGCGTACCAGCATCAATTGTGTGCACGTTTATTTTAGTCATTAATTTGTTGCCATAGTTAATACAAAACCTCGATTTTGTATTAATGTTGGTCAGAATTTGTGCATGCAACAAGTAGATGTGCATTTGTGGATCAAGTGACACGCGTGCATTTATTGACTTGTTTCTGGATGGATCTTTTTGGATTCATTTGGAGTTTGACACTTTCATTTCGCCGGTTTAGAAAACCTGCTACCACTTGATGGCAGTGCTTAAACAACGGCAGCGTAATCAAGCGTTCTTCCCAATTTAAGATGCTTTTGTGGATTATAAAGTGATAGTACAAAATACCTACCTTATTAATAAAGAATAATTTGTAGAAGCAAACAGATTAAATCAGATTATGAAAAACACCCATAGAAAACCATTATAAAACACTTAATGTGCAATAGCACGTTAATAATACTCTTGAAAACTGTTCTAACTCAAACTTTTAGGGATTAAAAAAAGTGAAACTTTTTGAGTGAAAAGTAAAACTGAAAGTGTTGTCAGAAATTTAGTAATGGTGATGTGACCGTTATGTAGTCCATTTATAGCTTTTCACATCTGCTGATTGTATTTGGGCTTCAAAATTCGTAAAAGTTGTGTGAAGATATTGTGAAGATATTGTGTGAAGATATTGGAAAAAAATGTGTATAAACTCATAAACTTTTGTTGGTCACAGAGATCCTATTAGGATTTTGCTGAGGGAACCAGGGTGATGCTAACTGTTGTACCAAACTTTGGTAGAATTTCAGATTACATTTTCATTAAATTATGCTTTATGTAAAAGCAGCAGTATTTTAAAAGCATCTATTTTATGAAAGAATGTGATTACGTAATTAGATTTTGCTAATTACTAGAAGTGAGAGTTGTATTGCTTAAGACGTTTTCCCTTCACTGCTGCTACCACCTATTCTTATCTACATTCAAGGCAAAGCTTTTCTGATCTCAGATGAGCCTACAGTTCTGCAATGTTTTTGATTCATGTAGTCACTGGTATGAATCAAAATTGCGAACATTGGTCACCCATATGTCACTTTAAGCAAGAATATATATGTAAAAGATTTACCTTGATTCCTGCCTGAAGTTGTCATAAAATTTGACTTGATCGTACAGTGCTTTCCAAACCTGTCCCAGAGGGCCCACACCACTGCATTTTGTAGAGAGTGCAATATCTGAATTAGTTGTGACCATTATGGAGACATCTTAAATGTGTAGAAATATGATAAACAAATTATATAGTAATTCAAAGTGGGTAAAAATTACAACAATTTATTTATTAATTTTGTGGACAAAATATTTTATCTGCAGCAAATTGTAAAGTTTAAAAGTTACAAAATTCAGATTTCAGTATCCAGAACAGTATTCTATATGAGAACCTGATATTGACAATGTGTTGATTACAATTGTTATTTACTGTAGGTAAAGAAAATGATAAGGGAACAAATCACAATTTTCCTGCTTAAAATACTGTAGGCCTACTGATATATTTAGACTCATTGTGGGTTAAAAATATAGCTGATGTTTTCAGTCACAGTTGTCTTTTTTCTCCCTCTATCTCCTTCTCGATTTATCTGTAGGTATCCACAGCCTGTGAATCTACAACTAACAACAGCCAGGTTAGATGTTTTTAATTTAATACTTATTTTGTTTTTTTGTAGCTCAATATTCCTCCTTTCATTCAGCACAGAATGAATTTGAGTTATTCATGAAACAACACATATTGCACAATTATTATTACTACAGATTGAGTTGCTTTAATTTTAAGGTCTCCATCAAAATTTCAATTAAACCACTAAGGTCCCCATCACAATTTCAATTAAAATTAAAATGAAATCGGCAATAAAAAAAAGTTTTTGTCTTGCTGCAATGTAAGTAATTTAGAACTAATTTTGATGCAGGCATTTCCATGTTTGTCATTTTACAGTAGTGTAATTTTTTATTCAAATGATACCAAATATTGCATGGTGGTAATAAAAATGCATTTTTCTGAACCTATATTCAAGAAATATGTACATGAAATTGAAAGTCATGAAAGTCCATTCAAAAGATCTCGGAGTAGTTGAAAAACTGATGTGTTCTCTCTTGCTGTTGTCCATGTGTATCACAAATTTCGAACAATAATGTTGCAATAGCCATTATGGACCACGCCTAAAAAACAAATAGGTTATATCTGCTTAAACATTGGTATTTATTATACTTTGAAAATATATATGCAATTATACTCTATATTGCCAAAAGTATCGGACACCCTTCCAAATCATTGAATTCAGGTATTCCAAATCACTTCCATGGCCATGGCATGCAGACTGCCTCTACAAACATTTGTGAAAGATCGGGTTGCTCTTAGGAACTCAGTGAATTCAAGCATAGTACCATGATAGGTTGCCATTCGTGAAATTTCCTCAATACTAAATATTCCACGGTCAACTGTTAGTGGTATTATAACTAAGTGGAAGTAA